GAGCGGCGTGGCAGCCGAGGCCGGGAGGGCACTGTTGCGGGGCGCGCGATGGCCGGGCAGCAGGAGCCGAGCTCTGTTACGCCTCCGGGTTCTCAGAAGCTTCTGGACACTCTGCTGAAGAACCTCTATGACTTCGGTGAGCGCGGGGCCGCGGGCGCACACCGAGCCGCTTATTGGGAGCACCTGGGCTTTCAGTGGGACGTTGGACTGTTGGAATAGCCGCTTCTTCGCGTCCCGCCACGCACCCCAGGCCTACCTGACCGGTGTGTGTTGGTGTCGCTTTGTCGCGCTGGGGCCTCTGACCTGTCGGGTCACCGTTAACTTCAGCCTTAGGCGTGTCGCCTGACAAGGACTTCAGAGAACGTTTGCACAACCCTTTTCCCCTCACAAGTGGCTTTTGCTCTCCTTTTTTTAGATGGGGAGGGGGAGAAGGGAATGAAAAGGTTGGTAACCTACCTACTGGAAACACCGTGAAGAGCTTTCCCCGGGAAAGCTGTCCTCCCTTGTATATGCACCGAAGGTGATCATTAGGTGGCTGGGCCTTCTAGAACCAGACACATGTCTTAGGTTTACTGTGTGGGACTGCAAAAGCTGATTGACTTTTGTTTTGGAGCAACTGTTCAAAATTGTAAGCTCATCTAGACAGTAAGAATGATAGCCTTAGAAGTATTGAAAACTTACCATTGGCTAAGTGCTCTGCATGACTTGGATTCACTCATTTAATTTTTTTACAACCTATTGAAATACTTTTATTAATTTTATTATTGCAAATATAGAAACAAGCACTAGAAGTTAAACTTTCTGAAGATTATCTCCCAAGTAGTTTTCCCAGCCCGAGTTCAAGTTTCCAGGCAGTCTAGCTCCAGATCCAGCACTTGTATTGACATGCTTTGGCTCCGCACTTAACTTTTATTCCCTTTTTTTGGAGAGATTTTTGCTATAGGGCAGGTGTGCTCACCAGGAAGAGAGAGCCACAGTGAGAAATCACCCCCCGGGGGAATGGGCATGCGTGCATTTAAGCAACCAGATCTGGGACTCAAACCACGGTGGACTACATGGGAGTCCAGCGACATAGCCATTACGTCAACTGCTGGTCCCGTATTGACATGCTTTGCACAAACCATCTCTTTGCCCTGGAGGACTGAGAAGACATTATCTTTGATCTTGAAAATTTAAAGTCTAGAAGAAAAGACTGTTCTGCAGGTGATTATGTCCACACAGGCCGGAAACTATCATTCTAGAAGCTTTGCAGGCATGACTACCCACTTATTTTTATATCCGTAATGCCGGAGTTCAGTAGGCTCCTAATAAATGCTTCCTGAGTAAAACACTAAGCAAAATAGAGGCAAGCGTAAATGATCAGCTTTTATTTCCAGAGCTCTGTGGTGTTAAAACTGGGTAAAGAACAAGGCTTGGCAGTCTGGCCAGAACTTTCAGGTGACCAGCCAGAGTTTGGACAGGTGAGACAGCAGATACAGGGGTTTAGTAGGAAATACAGGCATGCAGTTAAGCCAACTAATACCAAGTTCATCTTACTCATCACTCTGAAAAAAAATGCGAACATTGCAGGTACCTGTAGCCCTAGAAAGTGTCGAAAAGAAACACAGCCTGTGCGGGCAGGCATTTCCATACAAAGCTGAAGCCAGTTGGGTTAACAATCCTGGGGACTGTTGCAGTGATGATGATGTTTTTGTTTTTTTTTTGGAGAGATTTTCACTGTAGGGCGCGTGTGCTCACCAGACAGACAGAGAGAGACATAGAGACAGAAAGCGAGAAATCACCCCCCAGGGGGGATGGTCACGCCGCAATCCCTTCTCCTCCATTCTCCTCTCGGGATCTTGGGCACGCACGCACACGCGCCTGGCGTGAGTTTTAAGCCACCGGGTCCGGGACACGAACCGCGGTCGACTACGTGGGAGTCCAGCGACATAGCCATTATGCTAACTGCTGGTTCCCCAGTGATGATGTTTTGAGTAAGGACAGAGATGAGGGTTAAAGTAATTGTGCTAACAAGAGCCCAAAACATCAGTGTTTCCTAGAAAAGAAGGCTGCGTTTCGGCTTCTGTGAATTGTGCAAATAGACCCCACATGAAGAAAACGCCGTTTGTTCCTTGCTCTTACAGCCGTGGCAATATGCACAGGTGTATTCGTACGATGTGATACTGGTGATAGCTAAAGCCAAAAATATTCTTCCTTTGCATTTGAACAAACAGGAGAGGTGGAAGATGAAACTGAACAGAAGAGGATCAGGAAAAAAAAGGAAAATAAGAGAGACGTGGGGGCCACAGCTGCCTTGGCGGCACAGTCAGTTTCCGTACCTGGTTCTCTTGGAAAAGGCCAGAAGAAGAGTGCAACCAGCTTCTTCGAAGAACTCCGAGAAGAGCTGCATTGTGCTGCTGTCACCCCTCCTGGTTCCCCTTCTGGGCCAGAAGTCCCCACTGCTGCAGTGTCTCCAGCTCTTCCCAGGAACAAAAGGAAGCAAGTTGAAGTGGTAGAATTTCACAGCAGAAATAAAAAAAGAAAGCCGGAGCAAGACCGAGCTGAGTGCACGAAAGCAGTGAGTTGGTTAGTTTAAGTCCAGGGAAACTCCCTGCTATTGCGTTAGGCAGCTGTCATTATAGACTGTCCCTAAGGCAGGGGTCCCAACCTCAGGCCCAAGGATTTGCCAGAAGGACTCACAGGCCAGGGGACTAGCATGTAGTCCTCATCAGGCATGTGGGGGTAGACTGACCCTAGTTATCCAAGCTGTAGGCATCTGGAGAAGAGCAGGTGCAGGCACGAGTCAGTCATACTGTCGGTGTAGACTAGCTGGGCAAATTTGGCGCAGCAGTGGCTCAAGGCCTTGGGTGTGAGAGAAACTTCTGATCAGGCAGGAGGTTCTCGTCACCTACTTCCCAGAAGCCAACTGCTGCCAGTGATGAAAATGGGACTTTTTAGGAATGTACAGGGTTGGTTAACCCAGGCCTCCTTGGCTAACCCTTTTGCATTCCTAAGTGCTCACCCTGGCAGTGCTCAGAGAAGACAGAGTCAGTCACCAGCTTTGTCTGACAGCTCCGCTGGGTGCCAGCGGCTGCGCTAGGTACTGGGGTAACGGTAAGCAAAATGACAGAAATGCCATTCTTATGGAAACATGCTGATAGAAAAGCTATTTGATTTTACTGAGCAACAGTCTTGTTCAGGCTGAGCTTATAAATCTGATCCAGAATTCAGTCTACAAGGGAAGTGTGGTTGCCTTACCAAAATTTGTTTTTCTAGAAATTGCCAAAAGGCTCGTACACTCAGCAGAGAGAAAGGACCCCCTCTCCCCAAAGTGGGGCATGAGCAGGCCGCAGTCCTTTTCCTCCTTCTCATTGGGACTTGGGGCATGTACACACTGCACCAGTGTGTTTTTCATGCTGCTGGTGCCGGGACTCAAACTGTGGTCAGACGGGTGGGGTCTGGTTCCAGGTGAGCTGTGCTTAACCTCTGTGCTACGGGGGTGGCCTTGGATTTTCTTTTTCTCCAAAAGCTGTCCTGGCTTTGTCAAACCCATTGCCAAAATCAGACATTCCATTTCTGTAGCTTTCCCCATGTCCTGTGACTATTTATCTTTCAAAAAGGGGATGAGGATGATACTGGTTTTTAAGGCTGTTTATAACAACCATAAACTTGTGACTTAAAACAACAGAAGTTTATACTCTTAGATTCTGAAGCCCTCAAGTCCAAAATCAAAGTGTTGGCGGGGCTGTGCTTCCTCTGAGGGCTCCAGGGGAGACTCCTCAGCTCTGACTGGGAGGTGGTGCCAGGCGCTCCTTGGCTTCTGACTGGGTAGGTGTAACCGTTCACTGCCTCTAGTCGGTGTTCACCCAAGTCTATTTCCCTCTGCCTTTGTCTGCTAGGAATGCAGAGGAGCACCGTGCCCGTCCCCAGGGCGCGTTTAGGGTCCACCCTGAATCCAGATGATCTTGTCTTGAGATCCTTACACTGTGAAGGCTCCTTTTCCAAATAAGTTGGCATCCACAGGTTTGGGGATTAGGACACGGCCCCGTGTCTCTCATGGCCATATCTCTTTGGAGCCACAGTTCCACCCACTACAGAGATAACAATTTAAACCTGCATTGTTCTTTATGAATGTGTAAATGTGTGTTAGTGTCAGTGTTTATCTCATCTTTATAGCTTTAAAAACATCTGGAACCAGCAGATGGCATAGTGGTTAAGTCTCTGGACTCTAAAGTAGTCGACTGCGGTTCAAATCCCAGGCCCGGTGGCTTAAAACTCATGCTGGGTATGTGTGCGTGCATGCCCAAAATCCTGAGAGGAGAAGGGAGGAGGTGATATTTCACTTTTTGTCTCTCCAGTGAGCACATGTACCCTATAGCAAAAATCTCTTTAAGAAAATCTGAAATATTTTCTAGAATCCAGGTAGCACTTTAAGCTCACCAGCGTCTTCTTCAAAGATTCTCAGTGCATTCCGAATCACACCTACCTTCATTTGGGATAATAGGTCAGCTTCCCAGCTTTTAGGGTTCGAACACCAGGCCACTGGGCACTGTTAGAGGTGGGCCGAGGGGTGGGTTTTTCACCCTGGGGGCAGCTGGAGCCTCAAGCTAGACGTCTTTTGTTCTCCCGGGGACCCTACCGATCTCAGTGCCTCCCGCATCTGCCTTGGTGTGAGAAAGGGTCGGGAGGCGTTGCTTTGCAATGCAATTTGTTTCCTTCAGGTTTTTGCCATAGGGTGTATGTGATCACCAAAGAGAAGCTGACATTGAGAGGGAAAGTGGGAACTCACCCCCTGTGTGGGGGTGACCACGCCACAATCCCTTCTCCATTCTCTTCCTGGGATCTTTGGCACGCTTGCACGCGTGCCTGGCGTGATTTTCAAGCCACGGGATCTGGGACTTGAACTGCAGTCATCTATGTGAGAGTCCAGCGACGTAACCACCATGTTACCTGGTGGCCCCTTAGTGTAATTTTATATTTGGAGAAGTGAACTAACAGCATCTTGGCACCCTTTTTTGTCCCTCAGAGTTTCCAGCTTACGGTTTTGTCTTGTACTCACTCGTGCTTCTCTTTCTGGAATGGACAGTCTTCTTTTTCTTAGAAGAGGTGAGCTGACGTGGCATGAGCCTGCCCTGCCCTGTCTGCCCGGCAGCTCACGTGCTGGGAGCTTGTGCCCAGCGAGCCGTTTCGTACTGTGGCTGGCTTTTCTCGGGAACCTGAGCGCGTTCTCCGCATGAGCTTCCTGATTGGAACGACATTTTCTAGCTGTCGCTGGTACTCCTCCCTGTACTTTTTTTCTTAGTATTTGTCCTTCGAAGATCCGTGTGCGTGTGTGGCTAAGGAGACCGGAAGTGCACACGGCATGCACGTCTGCCCGTGGAAAGGCTTCAGGCAGTGGGCATTGCAGCATGTAAAGGAATACAGAGGAGCGCCATGCCCGTCCCCACGGCGCGTGCTGAGGGCAGGATGGCCGAGTAATGGGTCATTGAGGGGACGAGGACACTTGATGCTGTGCTATGCGTGTGTGTGTGGCAAGGGACAGGGGGGTCGTGCCCTTGTTCTCTGAAAGCGTATAAACCCTGGTAGGACAGGTGTCACTCATGTGGAATTGGCAAGGACAGATGTTATAATAGCAGTCTCCGTCGATCGGGCGTGGAGCCAGCTGGTTACCCTTGAGACTACTCGAGGAAAAAAGGTGCTGGGGAGCTGGACCCAGGGCACGACCACATGGTCATTTCTGTTTTTAAGTGTCTGAGGGACTGCCACACTTTTTCCACAGAGGCTGCACCATTTTCATTCTCACCAAGGGAGCACGTGGGTTCTGGTTTCCTCCACACCCTTTCCAACACTGCCCTGTTTTTAGATCGTGGCCGGTCTAATGGGTGTGAGGTGGTCGATTCAAGGCCTTAACGACATGCCTAATCTGCTGCTGACAGCATACCGACAGGAGTAATGGCTGATCTTAATGAGATTTGTTTTCTTTGCAGCCTAAAGCTAATGTCCTTGAAAATGTGGATGTACAGGAATTTAACCTAGAAAAGGTATGTCTCTGAGGTTAAGTTGTTTATAATATTTATTTAGAAATGTATTATGTTTATATTAAATGTGTTTTAAGTTTATAAAGGTAATTTATATGAAGTACCAGGTTTCTTTACAATACCAGAAACCCATCTTACTTGTTCAGTTGTTAGAGAGTCAGGAGAATCAGCCCCATGCACATACTGGAGGCTGCATGCTCGTTTAGCTCATGAGGGCCCTGTGACCACAGTGGCAAGGACGACACGGGAGGAGCGTGTGCACTCTGCAGTGTGACAAGGTCTGAAAGCCGTGGGAGGAAGAGGCTCAGCTGCTGAGAGCAAGTCCTGCTGGCGCCTTTTTTTTAATCTTTCAAGAGAAGATTTTGGCTGGAGGGCGCATGCGCTCACTAGAGAGACAGAGAAAGATGAGAAATCACCCCTGGGGGCATAGCCGCTCTGCAGTCCCTTCTCCATTCTCTTCTCGGGGTTTGGGCACACATGCACACACGCCGGTGGTCCAGTACTCGAATCACAGTTGACCACGTCGGAGTCCAGCGACGTAACCATTACACCCTCTGCTGGTCCCAGCTTTTTTCTCTTCCTTCTGAAAACACACATCTGTGTTTGAAGCTGCCAGGACAGCGCCTTCTAAACGTGAGAGAGTGTGTTGGGGACTTTTCAGTGCGGAGTAATGCTTGTTTTAGAGAGAGCACCCTGAGGGAGGGAGAGCTCTGCCACAGGTCCGAGCTCTTCACCGATTTGCATGGAGATAAGCCCAGGCACTGACTGTCCCAGCTGAGCACCAGAGGAGGGTGGCAGCCTGGGAGGCGGGCTGCTCCGGCCCGTCACTCAGCACTTCGCACGCCCCGGAACGCAGCGCTCCTGGGCTGTGGTTTTCTGTGCAGTTGCAGGAAGGCGCCGGGTCTGATTCCCTTCCTGTCCACAGGCTCGTGTGGAAGTGCACCGGTTTGGGATCACGGGTTACGGAAAGGGGAAGGAACGAGTCCTGGAACGGGAGCGTGCCATCATGCTGGGTGCCCAGGTGAGGGCTGGTGCTCCCCCCACCGACAGGACAGGATGCCGGGTGGGGAGCAGGGGCAAGTCAGAGAGGGACAGGGAAGAGCGCAGAACAGAGTGACCACGCGTGTCGTCTTCTTTCTTTTCAGCCTCCCAAAAATAGTTACGTGAATTACAAGGTTTTGCAGGAGCAAATCAAAGAGAAAAAGGCAGTAAAGGAAAAAGAAAAGAGAGCGGTAGGTGGGCTGTCCAGGCGTCGCTCCGCTCGCGAGGACGGGCCGGGGGGCCCAGCCAGTGCCAGAGGCTGCCACTCGCCCGAGGTGGGACGCAGCGTGAAAGGGCCACGTCCCCAGTCAGCTCCACGGGAAAGCCCAGCCGGTTACCCCGCCAGTTCACACGGGAGGCTTGCTCTGCGACAGCAAGCTGCCCTTCGGATAGCGCGGGCCTTTTCCCTGTCCACAGCCACGGTCGTGGCTTTCTGCGCTGTCGGACCCCGGGGCCTGTGGGAAACCGCAGGGGAATGATGTTACCCGTCCCCTTACCTCAGGGGGATCCGACTCAGTGTAAGGTTGCCCGTCTAACCTGGAACACAGACGTTCCATTCTTGGGAGGGCCTTGGGGGGGAATTCGAGACTGTTAGGTTTAACATGCCCACTTGGAAAAAAATTTTAAAAAGGGTCTCTCAGTGACTTTTGGTGACAGATCTCTTGCCTTTTTTGAATTCCGTTATTACTGACACGTATTATCCTAAATTCCGAACGTAGGCCCAAGACACAGATATTTTCAAGAGAAAGAAGAGGAAAGGGCAAGAAGACAGGTGAGTGAGCCCACCAGGTCCTCGGGCCGGACGGCCTGGGCAGCCCTGGTGATCAGTCCTGAAACGCGCTGGAACGGATGTGGTGGCCCAGGCTTCAGAGTGCGGCGCCGTCTCGTCTGTCCTGGGCCCTGTGAGGGGCAGCTGGCAGTCAGCGAGGTGCCTGAGACTGAACGGTGCTTGAGTCAGGAACCTTTAACCTCCCCTTCTGCGACTGGCGGGAAGGCTGCGGCTGACACCCCCGGCACAGGCCTCTGCTCCCTCCTGGGGGCTGGGCGCACAGCACAGCCGATCCGTGTGCCCGTCTGGTGCACCGTCAAGGCAGGCTGCCAGGACTTTGAGTAATGGCACGCTTGATTTCGTTGCTCTAGGCTTGTTTTATAGGTTTCCTGCAAATAGTTTTTCCCTA